ATATATATATATATATATATATATATATATATATATATATTAATAACTGGATAAACATAAACAATAGGGATGTCCCCACAACACACACAGTGGCAGTCCAGTCTCATGGTGACCAGGCCATGTGGCTCACTGTGGGGCATTATAGATCATACATAGTTCACACACACACACACACACACACACACTGAGACTGAGGCTGCAGCACTCCTCCAGTGTTGCTGTAACATTGATCATGTAAACTGCTCTAGCGCTCTGATATTGTAAATTGATTGTAAAGTGATCAGTTTGTTCACACTTCTTAGTAACCCTCCAGAGATACTTTACTGCCTGTAGGAATTCTCAGTTTTCAACCCAGAGAAAGGGAAACTGAGTCTCCCAATTCCAAACTAATGCTTAATCTGGGTGTTTCTTAATGTGTAGTGGAATTGTGAAGTGGTTAAGTTTAATAAATACATAAAAAATGCAGCTGTGTTTTTAATGTGCTGTTGATGGACATGATTGTCCCACAATGCACTGCACAAAGGAGACTGGGGTGCTTAAAACAAATTGCAGATGATGGTTTGAAAAATACTGTTGGCTCTTTTTGGCATTACTTTTTTGAGGACCATGTTTGTGATTTAAGTACATTTTAATTGACAATGGCAAGTGTGGCATTCCCCTTTAAGTAACATCCTCAATGTTCAATATCCTCAACATAGAAATACAGGACTGTCCTGGGTAACGGAACGATCACAGGTTTATGTTCTGACCACCAGTTCAAATGATTTCATTAACCCAAATTTCTCCTCCCACTTCAAAACTCTGTTGAAATCCGTCTGCATGTATATTCCATTTATTCATGATAATACAAAACAGTAACGTACTTTGATTTATTGTCTACTAATTGCAAGTTGGCTGGGTGTCGGGAATGCTTTCATACAGCGGAGTCTGTCTATCTGACCTGAGCAGACAGACAGACAGTCAGACAGACAGACAGACAGGCTGCTGGGTGAAACGGGATGAATTCATGTGTACAAATAAACAACAGCAGCTGATCCATTTATATAGAAATATCTAATCAACACACACACAGCATGCTGACAGGCTGACTGTGTGCGTGTGTGTGTGAGAGTGTGTGTGTGTTAATCTCCTCACACTGAGAGACACTAATAACCCCCCACGGGCCGAACCAACTGCTCTATACTACTGCCAACACACACACACACACACACACACACATACAGTGTTGGCTTAATGACATTAGCTTGGATAAAATACAGCAAAACAGATTGGCTTCAACCACACACACACACACACACACACACACACACACACACACACTGTATCTACACCTTCATCCTCCTCCACTAACGAGTTCTGTCTGAATGGATTTAAACTACAAACAATCACACAATATATTGCCAAAGTTGTCAAAACAATACCACAATATGCCACAATGACACCAAAATATTACCGAAATATCACCACACCATGACTACACCAGAGACTGTGTTAGGGATGGGCAATTTATCAATATCATATTGATATTCTGAAGTGAGACTAGGTATCATCTTACATGTTGGGTATCGTAATATGACATAAGTGTTGACTTTTCCTGCATTTCAGTAACATGATGTCATTTTCTGAACACACCAGACTGCTCTAGCTCTTGCTTTCACCCACTTAGTCACTGTAGCCACATTACTGAAGGTTATCTCATGTATATATTTCGTGAAAGCACCAATAGTCTGCCCTACAATATCGTGAAATTTCAATTTTCTCCATATGGTCCAGCCCTGGACTGTGTCATCCTAAAAAGGATCAGTCCTAGTCTTAGTTGTGTTTAGTTTTAGCAAGTTGAAGATGTAGCTAGCTTGCTATCGAGCTTCTGCCACTTCCTGTAATCACAGGAGAAGGGATCTTCTGATGCTGCGATCAGAGCTGTGTGAGACCAGCATGGCTGAGGTGAGTGTATGGGGGGGTGTGGTAGTCCGGCTAGGAGGCCTGTACCTACAGTCAGTCCAGGTAGAAGGAGCTGAGATAGACTAAATAAAGAAAAGACTCATCTAACAATGCATTCTTCTCTGAGCTGATTCTGAATCGATTCACAGATTCCTAAAAATCTATTTTTTGTAGCTTGATAATGACATTATGTTAGCAGAACTCATTCACTGCTCCTCATAGTGACTTTTTGTGTTTCAGCAGGTAGAAAGTGCTTCGACTCCATTCCTTTTGTCTTTTAACGTCACTGTCTGAACTGGAAGATGTGCAGATTAATTGTTATTTAGCGAATATGATATTTGATTAGTGGTAAAGTGAAGAAAATAATGTTCATAACTAAATAACCTGCAGCATCGTATTGATTTGTTTCACATTTTTTTAATGCAGAACATTGGATTATGTAAAGGGGGCAGTGCACAATAACAGAACAAATATTGTCATTTCTCTTCATCTGTAGTTCCAGGACAGTTGGTACAAAGCCACCCTAAAATCAAATAGCATCAGTGCTCTTGAATGTTGTGCTTTGTGTTGCTGTTACTTGCAACACAACCTGAGCTCCTTGTAATAGTTAGCGCTGTGGGTAACTTTATGGCAAAGACGGTATTTTTATTCTAATGTCTGTGGTGGTGCCAGGTCACAGATGTGGAGGTATGTTTCCAACTTCAAATAAATAAATAAAAGTATGCTAGGCTGTGTTAACCAATCAGGACTGCCACTTTTCCCTTTGACTACTTCACCATAGTTAACTCTATAGTGAGTAAAGAAAGTGAAAGTTCAGACTCAAATCGGTCAGGATTTTGCACCATCACTGATGGGTGTATTGTTGCACGACTGTAATTTTCGCATCTATAAGAGGCAACACATTGCATTGTGGGATCATGGCATATATTTAACACTCAGAAGTCAACTAAAATAACTCAGATCAAATGGTGGACGGTAAATATTGTGCACTATACAGCAGATATGAATTGATTTCTGACAAAGCCCGAGACGTCATCTTTAAAGAGGATGGATTGGATATTAAAAATTAAATAGCTTAATAAAAAACTAAAAAAGGTTAAGTCTATTGTGAATCACCCAGACACTCATTTCAGCCGGTGAAGCACAGAACTCCAGAACACCAGTGGTGGGCCGTCAGGGCCAGCTAAGCCTTCTCTGCTGGCCTAAACAGAATCACAAAGTTATAGCTATATTATAATTTAGGGAAACGGACGACGGGCGCACCGGCACCGGTCGCACCGGCGTCCATGGATCGAGAAGGACTTCTTACTGGAACTGAAACGATGTACTGGGATTCAACTCTTTGTCAACAAAGAATTCGGTAAGTGACAAACTGCGTTTCTTTTTTTACATCTGCAGTAACGTTTTCATGAATAATATTTGAATGGCTCGTGCTCTTGTGTGGTGGAATGCGTGGATCCACTGCAGGTTTGCTGGATTGATATGTCATGCTTTGTTGTCATATGCATATATGTGACTGGTTGTCATTGTATTAATTACGTTGATTTGACTATGCATTGTCCGTTAATGACGCAGCGTCCCGTCATGCACGGATTCATGTATCTGCACCGTAGCTGTTCAACTGTAGTAGGACAGCACAGAAGGCCTAGGCATAAAATGCACGGCCCGCCACTGCAGAACACAGAGCCCAACGTAAGGAAAGTGCATGAAAGTTGCAGATATTTTCAGACGTAGCTGTTTGAGGGATTTGACGTCATCCAGCTGAGTTTAAAACAGCCAGAAAGTCACCAAAACTGAAGAATGTAACACCAACAACCTCTCATAACCCAAGTAATACTGTGTGTGTGTGTGTGTGTGTGTGTGTGTGTGTGTGTGTGTTAGTATGTCCAGATGTCCTGTTTCAGGTGGTCTCAACATGACAGAACATCTCCATTACAGCACCAGCTGCCTTGACACCCACACCCACACACAGTCTGCCTGTCTGTCTGATATCAACAGGACTACTGTGATCATCAAGACAGCTCTGTCACCGTGGTAACTGACCTGTGGGGGTCTCCGGGGTGATGGGGATCCACGTCAGCCTGGTTCGGGTGAGCAGGACGTCATGACTCTTCTTCCCCAGTTTGAAGATCCCACGCAGCATGACACACTCACTGAGCACACACAAAACACATGTACAAGTACAGTTTATGTCAAACAATTAGAGTCTAGATATTTTGTCGTTTACACATATTTATCAATGAGTCAATTTAATATTCTGAAAGGATCCATTGTTTTAGATTTACTTTGGTAAAGTTTTGACTGTGGGCTCTTACTTTGAAAGAGTTGTGTGATGGTTGATAACTGAAATGGAGGATTTCTTTCGTCTGACCCATCAGTTTGTTGTGTGAACCAATCAGAGAGCTCTCTGCTCTGTGTGGAACCTGAATCTGAAGGAAACCTCAGAACAAACACTCACCTGTTCTCATCTTCCTCCTCCTCTTCCTCCTCCACCTGCTCTTCCTCCCGCTTCTCCTCCTCCTCCTTCTTCTTCTTCTTCGCGCTTCGTTTCTCTTTCTTCTTCTTCTTCTTCGTGCTGTCTCTCTGCTCTCCCTGGAGCTCCTCCTCAGGCTCCGACATGTTTACCGGTTTAACTGACGAACAAACAAAGAAACTCGCTTATGATTTAGTTCCTCTTTGATAAACAGAGCGGCAGGTAAACACGCGGTGAGCTTATCGCCACTGACGGGTTGTGTTGTATTTCCGGGGTGTCGTCGCTATGGAGACACGAGGAGCGGCTTTACCGGACCATCTCGTGCACGCGGGAGATCCATCGGTATCTAAAAGGCACGCGCACGCTCCCGCGTTCATCCAAGCGGGAGTGCGCACACTGTAAGTAGTCACTATATCACTTTATGATCGAGGTAGTTCTTACTGATTATGTACAGGTGTTTACTGTTGTGGGCTCAGCAAGAACATTTAATAGGTTTACTTGTACGTTTACTTTACTTTAGCATTTCAAATGTATGCTACTTTAAAGACTACTTTTACTACACTTAAGTTAATAGGTAGGCACATTTTTATACATGCATTTATTACCAGTGGTAGGGGTACTCTTTTACTATTTTACTTAAGAAAAAGTAATAATACCACAGTGGTAAAAATAGGCTGCTCTTGTACAAGTACACTTGTGCATTCAAAATCTAAGTACAACAATAGTAATTTTTTAATATGCTACAAAAGTAAAAGTAGCCTACTCGTTATGCAGAACTATAATTATTGATAAATGTAGGCTACATATCATATTAAAGGTGCAGCTGGTAAAGGTTGGGCTACTGGTAGTTTGACAGCTTCTGGTCTTTGAATCAGCAAGTTGCCAGGTTGGATTGAGGGTTGCCAGTTTGATCAACAGGCCTGTGTGTGACTGTTGCTGCTTTCTGTCTGAGGTCACGTTCAGTCAGTTTTATTTCACAAAAGACAAAAACTTTCTAGTCAACTTCTTTTTAAGTTTTTATACGTTCTGAAAACGTATTTCCTCAATAGGCTCTGTATACTCTGTGAGACTGAGAGATTTCTGTATTTTCGTTCTTCCCTGCGCTCTTCAACCAGGAGGCTGAAAACCTTTTTTGGCACATGCTCAACAATCAACTTGCATTCAAGTAGGCGCCATGTTTGAGTCCAGTGTTCAGCTCTTATAATACATCCATGATATGGCGCCAAAAATGCAGAAGCTTGAGGAGGCCGCGGAGCCTTTTTTCTGCGTATGTGCCCAGTGAGCAACTCTAAATGAATGGACCGCCATATGTCTGGTTAACTTCTTTAGCTCCAATAAAGAGCAGCGCATAGCGGCTTCTCAAATGGGGCGCAATATGGAATGGAGCTTGTAGGTGATTAGCTTAGCTTAGCATAATTACTGGAAGAAGAGGGAAATACATGGATGTATAGAGAGAACGGGATACAGCGTTGGAGGCGGGGCCCTGTTCATGCCTAATGAAAGTTGCTGCATGATGCCAAAATAACTCGACTGCTGTGTATAGCATTACACAGATCTTCCTCACTTCTTCCACATCCGTGGGCCCATGGAGCAAGAGCACTAGTGTTTCTTAACTAGCTGCTCGGTTTCGGGCTCATTCCTATAAACCTCAGCACAAAAAATAACTCGATGCGGCTGTTAGTGCATTTTACAACTTTTAGGCCCTAATGATTGAAATAAGGGTTATTCAAGTGTTTGTACTAGGAAGTTGATTTTACAGACGCCTCTTTCATAATGTAAGTCTATAGGGAAAAACATTTTCGGTCCCTATGGCATCGCGGAACCAGAAGTTGTAATTCCGTGCTTTGGCCACTGCGAAGATTGGCTTCAAAGCTCGGAGCTGTTCCTGGGGGCTTGGGGAAATAGCAAAAGTTCAAAAACCCCAATTTACCCTGCCTACTAACACCCCTGCTATAAAGTCTACTACACTGAATACAATCCTCCCACTATATGATTTTAAAAGACACATGGCAACCAATCAGAGCGCATGGTATTCCCTCGCTGTGGTATGAACACCATCTTATGTGTGTGCGTGTGTGTGTGTGTGTGTGTGTGTGTGTGTGTGTGTGTGTGTGTGTGTGTTGATAGCAGATGGCTGGATTTAAGCTTCATTAATCAGTGTTATTATCAGCCAACAGACTGAAACACAAAACCTCTATCACAAAGACTACTGCTAATACTACTATTGATACTGCTAATACTGCGGATGCTAGTACAGTGGCTGTATTCTGAGTGTAATTCAAAATGTACACATGATGTTTTTATTAATATCTTTCTCCAAAAAACAATAGAAACAGCGTAGCTTTTTAAAATAATATGTCCTTTGTATTTTCTCCAGATCACTATATTTATCTGTACAATGTACCAGACAATTTAGTATTTTATTTTTGTTCCAGATACCTCATAGGATTTGATAGAATAGTTTCTGTTCTATTTGAACAGGATGAATCTTTATGCTGCAGTCTGACTTTCTCTCATTATTATTTCACTTTAACAGGGAGGCTAAATGGTGGGATATGGCCACCATATTGTCCCTGTTGACTTACACACTAACACACACATGCACACACACACAGCAGGACATAGTGTGTATGGGGGGAGCTCTCATGCATAAACAAGATCATTTTCATAAATTAAAATCTTGCCTGCAGAACGAACATCTGTGCCCTTCATACATATACACACACACACACACACTTACAGTGATCCTGGTTTTGTCGTTCAGTCTGTGAGATAATGTTGTTAACGTGTTAACAGGGTTTTCTCTGTAAGGAGATATGTGTTTTCTCCTCATGTGTTTATCAATACTCGGAACTTAAAATCCACTTTAAAAAACACTGTCGTCACGTGGAAAACCTGTACCTCCAAGTCTTCGACATTTAATCCCATTTACGATGACGGACTTCTGCAAGTTTCTGAGCTGGTTCTCCAAATATATTACAATAAGCTCACTACCGTTTAGAGTGGATCTTTTGACAGCAGCTGTGTGGAAAGTTTGATGTTGTAATGATTATGTATTATAATTATAATTTCATCTGCTGATCATTTTCTGGATTAATTGTTCCAAAGAAATTTGAAAAATGCCCTTTGCAATTTCACAGAACCAAAGGTAATGTCTTCAAATGTCTTGCTTTGTCAGACCAACAGTCTAAAACCCAAACAGTCAGTTTACTGTCATAGAACACGAAGAAGACAAATATTCACATTTGAACCAGTAAAATTTTCAAATTATAAAAAAACTGGTCATTACATTTGTCAACAATTATAACTCCTCCAAGATACAGTTTATTATTAAAACTGTTTGTAATATTGACATTCATTGTCAGTGGACCAATCGATTAATCGTTCATCTACTGTATATACCAGAAATCCATCTGGAAATAAAAGGTCTTTTATACATCACGTGACTGCTTGGATTTTTCTGTGTTGTTCGTGTATAAATGTGTCGTTCAAACATTTGGAACGGAGTTGAATTCGATTGAAGGGAACTCGACCAAACTGGCCTGAAGGGGACTGAACTAACCTGGAAGAAACCGTTCACAAGCACAGTGAAGCGGACCGAAGGAAGGTGATCTGTTGTGTTGTTGCTGATGAACAGAGTCTCTCAGTTGAATCACATGGAATTCCTTTTAATGAAAGGCCTTTATAAACATCTATCTTATAAAATATGAACAAGAGTCACATGAAAAGTTAACAGAACGCTACAGGAACGTTATAAAAAGCAAAAAGTAAAAACCACATGAACAACATGAATATTTTGGCTCGACACCGGCCCAAACCCCGGCTCAGAGCCGCCTTACACACCCAAAAATAGAGAAATCTTTATTCTTTCAACATTTGGAATTATCAACTGAGGGTCGCTCAGGCTTGAACAAAATTGCATAGTTTCCTTCAGATTATTGCTCATTGATTAGTGATTATTTTTAGGTGATAATATGGATAATAACGAGACATTCAGAGGGCATCTCCTGCAGGATGAAGCGCTACAGAGAAGGTTACATCATCAGCGTGACTTTGTCATCGCCATCGTAGAGCAGAAAGAAAGGAAAGACGGAAAGAAAGACAGCTATGGAACGATAGACATACATAGAACTGTCTGTCTCTCTAGATAACTGTCTCTGTTCGTCTCTCTGTCTTCGTCGGTCTCTCAGTCCTTCGTCCTCCTCAGGAGTCGTGGAAGATGGCGTTCAGCTGGGCGTTCATCATCCGCTCGTGGTGCGTCTGTCCATCAAAGCCCATCAGCCCGTCCACCTGGAGCTCGCTGCACCGCGTGTTGGACCCCCCGCCACCGTAGATGGCAGGGTGCCCGCCGGCTCCTCCTGCTCCTCCGTAGTGCACGCTGAAGGAGAAGCTCTTGTCGTAGTCGGCAGCCGCCGCGGCCTCGTGCTTGTAGGACGAGAAGTTCCCATTGATGCTGAGCGGCGGGCTGAGGGGCGGGTCAAACGCCGGGCCGTCCGACACCAGGACGCCATCAAAGAAGGGCTCCAGTGGGCCATAGGGCTGACCTTTGACCTGGTGGAAGATGTGGGAAGGCTCCATGGTGCCGTAGGGCGGGCTGGGCAGGCCGGCCGTCAGCCCGGGGCTCTGGTAGTAGTGTCCGGGATAGGTGGCAGCGCCGGCGGTGGGGAGGTGGACCGGCAGGTCGGGCATCTGCTCCGGCAGGAAAGTTCGAGGGTTCAGCTGCAGGCAGCCCGCCACCAAGTTAGTGGTCGGCTGAGACAGACCTGAGAGCAGAGAGACAATAATCAGTCAATGCTGATAAATAATACCAATAAATAAGAAAATCGTTTCTCGCTTCCCTTTTGGTTGATTTTACTGACATTTCAAAATAAAAAACTCTCCCCGGTTGAGGGCAAATGGTCATATTGTTTCCCTTCATCTTAATTTCATATAACCAGAGATCAGACCCCAGACTAGCTCGGGGGTTTTGGTCGACCCGGTCCGGTCTGGTGCTGCTGTAAGTTGACACTGACCTTTGCAGAGGGCCTGGACGAAGCTCATGACGTCGGGCGCCTTGCCAGAGCGCAGGACCTCGCTGAGGGCCCAGATGTAGTTCTTGGCGAGGCGGAGCGTCTCGATCTTGGACAGTTTCTGGGTTTTGGAGTAGCAAGGGACGATTTTCCGCAGACACTCCAGAGCATCGTTCAGCCCGTGCATGCGGTTCCTCTCGCGGGCGTTAGCTTTCATCCGACGGACCTTAAACCTGCAGAAACACAAAGCGAGTTCAACATTAGCCGCCGTGTCAGTTGTCATATCTGTATCTGCCTAGCAGTGATAATCAGCATCTAAATACTTCATGCAGTAATTTGCAGCAAAACAAATGTCTGCAAGCCCAAGTCGTTAGCATGTTAGCTTCCAGGCATTTTAGCAGCAATCACAGCTCAACGTACAATACGGTTGATAGTCACTCAAATATAGAACAGAGGAAAATAAACACTTGAAGCATAAGAAAAATGCAATTCTGTCAAAAATGAAGGCGACTAATCAAAATATAGGTGAAAATATGGAGAGGCGGTTGTTATTTTCAGTTTGCAGATTTTTCTCTCAGACTGCACGTGGCCACAACGAGTTCCACCAGTCAAAGCTTAAGTTTTATTTCAGGTTATATTGTGGGTGTTATTCTGTCATCATAATACTGTGTATAACGTGAGGCGACCAAGATAAGTAACAAGAAAAGAGAAGATACTGACACTGAAAAATTTCCATTGGGAAAGGGTCATTTCAGCCAGAAGAGATAAATATTTTAGAGAGTGAATTTATTTGTGTGTTTGTGTTAGTTGAGTTTTTGCATTCAAACACTATAACTCATTTTACATGATTTTACACAGAACATCAGTGTTCAAATAAAATTATAGTGTAAATAATTAACAGAAAACTTCTAGTTTATGGTGGGTGGGAGGTACTTGTTAATCTTGGCTTAATTTCTAAGCATTACTTCAGTTACAATGGGAAACACGTCTTAAGCTTAAGAAGGTATTAAACGGATTTTACGATCATCTTCGACTGAAGATGTTTTTGGGAAATGAAACCCAAACTGAGACTCAAGAAACGAAACATTTTTGACTCAGATCGGGAGAGCAGGACGACTGCTGAGGCTTCTGGGTAATGAAACACTGGTCCGATCGTCCCACTTTAACATATTCTCTGATCCATAGTTGTTTTTTTAATCATATCCTTCTAAGTTTGATGGTGCTTTTTTTATTTTCATCAAATAATGATTTTGCCGCCTGCTCAGTCCAGATGTTTTGTCCCTTTAGAGCAGGGGTCTCAAACTCATTTTCACTCCGGGCCACATCAGCATCATGGTTGCCCACAAAGGGCCAGTTGTAAATGTAACTACTCTTAACATATTGTTAAATAACTGTCTCTGCATTTGATTATTGTTTATTCAAGTGTAAAAATATTGTACATGCAGTTATATAAATGTAAAAATATATGTAAGCACATTTCTGTGATTATAACTTAAATCCTTTTACTTTAGGGTTAAGAAACCCACATTACTCCATCAAAGATCAAACTATTAAAGAAAATAACAAAGACAAATATCAAACACAAGTTATTACAATAACTTTGTTCAAAGCTTAAAATCCTTTCAAGGGTGGGTTTGCACAATCCCACGTGAAGTATTTCATCTGTTGTAAAGCCACGTTTAAAGTAGTCTTCAATGTACTTGCAATCCATTTCCATTTCAAGTGTACAGTAACCAGCCAAAGAGCTGCTTCTGTGACTGTGTGTTTAAGTATCTCATAATTTTGACTTTCTATTTCATAATTTTGACTTTCAATCTCATCATTTTGACTTTCTATCTCAGAATTATGACTTTCTATCTCATAATTTCGACTTTTTTTTTTTTAAACTTTTTTTTTGTTTTTGCTGGCGGATTCGCGGGCCACATAAAATGACGTGGCGGGCCGGATTCGGCCCGCGGGCCGGGAGTTTGAGACCCCTGCTCTAGTGAGACCCTTCGGACAAACTTTACACTTTTGCATTTTAGTTTTTTGAAAATACTAGTTTTTAAGAGCCGTCAATCTCCTTCACCTCTGAACTCGAGCCTTAGTCATCTTCTTCTTCTTCGGCCCTCGCCTCTTGGGTTTGTTTTCGCCGTCATCGTCCTCCTCTTCCTCCTCATCGTCCTCCTCCTCTTCCTCCTCAAGATGGTGGAGGCTGTCCTCCTGCTCTTCTTGGCCTCCTTCTTCTCCTCCTTCAATGGGGCTGTGAAGCTCCTCCTGCTGCTCCGACTCCACTGACTCCTGCTCCTCCTGTACAGACCTGGTCATGATGCTGATTCTCTGTTTGAGAGCAAAGGAAACAGAATAGATATGTTCATTAGAAAACGATAAAAACTCATCACCACACTTAATGTCTGTAGAAAAAATCGTATTTAAAGGAAATAATTAAACTGAGGCCTGCTTACAGTACAGCATGTTCTCACCGCTGTTATTAAGGTTTTAATAAATGTAATAAAATTATAAATGACCTACTCATTTGCTAGTTTTTTACATTTTCATGAACAAATGGCATTTTTTTATGATTTTACACACATCCTGCAAGACGGTTTTATGTAACATTATTACATTATTTATTTTGCCAAACAATAACAATAAAAAAATGTTTTTGCTCTAAACTCATTTTTGCTTCTTTGGATTAAAGTTCCATTGGATTTCACTTTACAATATCATGACTTATCAGATAAACCATACATTTATGTTTTTATTTAATGATGAAAAGATTTATTCCCATGGGATCTGACTTTCATTTCTGTGTTGAACAGAATACGCAGCTATAGGAGGAATGATGTTCTATTTATATTTGCTTTAGAATAAAATGGACAGAAACACAACTTAATATATATATATATATATACTTTGATTCAATACTTGAAAAACATAGTTTTTTTGTAACAGTTTTGCAACAAGTTCTCAATCTAATTCAGAACGGAATCTAAAATCAAAGAAATGTAGACGAGTTTAAATCGTAATTTGTGCGGCTTTGTGTTGTGGAAAATAAAATCAGTTCAAGTGTGATTCTTTTTATGTGTCTGTACAGGAAAAATGCAATAGGCTATGCTAGAACATCACAGTTACGGAGAAATAAACGTCGGCCTTGAGGCTAAAATAAAAAGAAGGAGAAAGTTGGTCAACGTTTAGCAAATAAAAATAATTCCTCGCAGAGTTAAGTCAACTGTATTTCATTTAGACCAAAAATCCCGCATTTGATGCGGACGGCCTAACAGTATTTAGCCCAAAACTTACGACCTTCAGTTTTAGATTTGGCCTAATTAAATATAAAGTAAAACAGCCTTAAGGTGGTAGATACAATGCTCAAATCTGCAGCTTTGGTCAGTGAAATGAATAGATTGTAATTGTGTAACAGACGTCAAAATTAAGTCCGTTAAAAAAAAAAAATCTTGCGGATGATTTACGGACGTCTTAAAACGACTCACCGTTCATTAAAAGTGGCTGGAAGTAAGCTTTTGAATATTAATTGTTACGCTTCCCACTTTCTGCTTACTGGTCCCGTTTATTCAACAGACCGGCAGACAGTGCGAGGTGAGACAGGTGTGAGCAGACATAAGGGACGAACACATATAACAACAAATAACTGAATAAAAGACCAAAGAAAATTCACACGTCGAAGAAAAAGCTGAGGGGAACAAAAATATATTCATAGGAGTTTTAAAAATCGGCTATTAACATTGAAATTAAAAAAAAGAAATAACAACAATTAAAAACAAATCACACTTTAAAAATAAGGAATCTTCGTATATTTAGGCTATGCGCATGGCAAATTATTTTTATACAGCTGAAAGGAATTATTGAATTACTGAATCAGTGTTAATGATTATCTGATTTCAATTAGCATTGATGGTCATTAATTTGGTAGCCTATACAGAATTAATCAGAATTATCATGCTGAAGGTTAGATTACACCGATCACAATCAGGAGGAGTGTATCTATCAGTTGCTCATCTTTAAAAGAAGAATAACCCTACCTGTTGTAGCAAGCCGCTGTTCGTCAGATTGCACGCATCCCGCGCGCTCTAGTGCGTGTCCGGGCGTGACTGTGCGTGATCTGCTTTGAGCTTTCTGAGGTGTGTGTGTGGGAGGATGCTGCATTTATACTCGGCACCACACACACACATACACACACACGCACGCACGCATACAGGAGGGGGTAATTAGCATATCGAGGCCACACCCTCCCGGCACGCGCCATATGGTACGAACGTTATTAAAACGGCCCCGGGGATCACGTGACAAATCCATTTGTATGAGCCAAGAGTCTCTCTCTCTCTCTCTCTCTCTCTCTCTCTCTCTCTCTCTCTCTCTTTGTGAGGAAAAGTTGACCATCTGTCGCCACATACAGCCACGCATGCGCAAACACGAACGTCATGCACATCATGGAACTATAATATGATTAAGGTTTATCCTTGTTGTTGTAGAAGAAGAAGAGAACTGTGGAAATATAGAATATCACCCTGGACCACCTCAGATGGGCTCTGACCAATCCAGTAGCATTCTGATTGCAATGCATTCTGGATGCATTTACACCTGCATTAATGTGAGTTCTTCGTGATCCAGATTAAATATCCAGATTACAGATTACCAGGGGGAGATGGGGTCCAGATGGTCGTCTGTACTAACTGTCTGGTGCAGGTTCAGGTGTTGTGTCAAAGTCAGTCTCCCTGTCAATATGATTCCTCTCACCTTCACCTGCACTCAACCTTACGGCTAACCCCAACCAGTTATTGCTCTGAGACGGAGCCACACCTGTGAAGCTCGTTGGTTTGATATAAGGTTTTAGACCAGTGGAGAGGCTGTAGAGGTGGATGTTGGCCATCACTAATTCATAATTTTTCCTTACGACATGGCAGCTAGCTCTTTTCTAGCATAACCTTAGATTTGTATAAACCAGGCGGCAACCTCCGGTTCTGCTGAGTGAAGCCGATGTGGAAGTGTCTTAAACTTGCATTCTCTCTACTGACCAGCAGGAGACGACTTCTCTGGTTGCAAAAAGAAGTCTGGTTGTATCGATGTGAGAAAATGACTTTACTTCTCACTTGATTTATTACCTCAGTAAACATTGTAAACATGAGTTTATGGTCTCAATCTCCAGTTTCAAGTCTTCTTCAATACAGCATGAAGTTCATTTAGTAAATTATGGTCCATTTAGAGTCAAATAGACCATAAAGCAGGGTATGCTTTACGGTGGGCTTACTGTGATTGACAGGTCGATGCCACTACCAGAGACGTAACCAACGTCTCTAAATCACTCCTCCACATTTTAAATATGGTAATTTACATTCATCGGTTGCAATTAAACAACATGGTGACGGCGAAATTGCCGAACTCAAGGCTTCATAACGTCAGTCCAATGAGTAACTTCACGATGACTACGTCCACTTCTTAGACACAGTCTGTGATTTAAAAGTTAGCTTGTAGCCAGGGGCGTCGTTAGGCCTATTGTAGGGGGGCTGACTCCCCTTGGGGCTAAGCCCCCCCTGTCTTTCAATCCTAGAAACGCCCCTGCTTGTAGCGTGTTGGCTACATCGACTGAATATTAAAAGAAAATGGAGAAAACCAGTAGGCGTGGCTTAAAAAATGACAAATTAAATGATATAAAGTTTAAAAGTGAATCGTATTATAGAACACTGTTTGCTGTCCACGATGTACTACCGTGTGCGTGTGTGTGCGTGTGCGTGTGTGTTGAGTTTTCCTTGGCTGCTTCGTTCTATTTATGAATAGGTTAATCTGACCTTCTCCAACCACACACGCACACACACACGCACACACACACACACACACACACACACACACACACACACCACCTGCAGTATGGAATAATAGTTCTTATTCATCAGCGAGTTGCTCTTTTTTCCTCACTTTGTTTTGAGTAACAAAATATTTCTCTCCCTTGAATTATTGTGACCTCACTGCTGTTTAATCAAAAGTTCAAACTCTTCTTTATTCTTGTTTCTCTCTCCTGATGAACGTCTGTAAAATAATGTATTTTTCTCTGGATGTCTTCATCCATTGAAACTGTGCATGTAAATAAATTCAAAGCATCAATTCAAAGCCACTTACAGCTTTGTTTTGACTGAAAACCATCAAATCAAACTGTGACTTCTGTGTGTCCCGTATCAGTAAGTTAATTCTTGACATTATATAGACTGTTGTATAAATAAGTTATTATGCTTCCATGTTATACTACATTCATGAGCAGCACAGAGTTGTATATTCATTCATCCTGAAGGGAACGGCAGAGAGAAGGGTGGATTGATTTTGAGTTAACCATTAGCTGTCAGAGGATCACGCTCATGGGACAGACACACCGGTCCTCTGAAGTTGCTTGGTAACTTCCTAGCAACCAGTTTAGGGTCACCATAGCAACCTCTTCACTGGAGAATAGCCTGGTCCAAAGTCTGCTGCTTCTTTCCGATTGGTCAGAGCGACTAAACACAACCACCAGAGTGATAAGCCCCTCCTTTTGCCTGGTTAAACAACACTTTACTTTAACCTCCTATATCTAGCATCTATAAGCAGTATATACACATTCAATAAAGGCTTTATAACACACAATAATGTAGTTATAAGCAGATATACATGAAGTGTTTTTTTAATGTTTAGTAAATTGTCCTATAAAGACATATTTTATATTATAACAACTGTATTTTACTGTATTGTTTTTCATCATGTGTTTATACAGCAGCTTGGGGGCCCACAGGTGGAGTTATATTTCTCGGCAAATACATTCATAAACATCATATGTACTTACAATGACATTATAGTGTGTTACAATGACATTACAGTGGGTTATAAACCATTTATTGAATGTTTATGTACTAAGGTTTAATTTAGTGGGAGGGCGACCCACAACAAACACTCACGTGAACAAGCTGAAAACAACACAAAAGACAAAACAACAATGCTGCACCAGAACAAATAAAACAACTAGAAAATGCATTTCCTGCTGAAAATGCGTTGGAATGCTGAAAGTTGAAATTAATTGTCAAAAAATTGCTGAAAATTAAGAAATGGGAGACTACCCGTCTGAAAAATGTTGAAGCTTGAAAGCATTTAAACTGCACTGCTGAAAACCCTTGTAGTTGAAATGTCTCACTATGGTGTCTGTAGCTGAAAGTATGAAGAAGAAGGCTTTGAAAGTTGAAGAAGTTTAACAGGATTTAAAGATTTTCTCCATAGAGATCCCATTCAAAAGAAAATTGCAAAAAGCTTAATAATTCAAAAAGTTGAAAGATTACAAATATGAAAAGTCATATCACCCTCTCCTGAAAGAGCTGAACATTTTGATATTCGAACGGTTTCTGTAGCTTAAGAAAATTTCAGCGGTAGTGATATTTGTTGTAGTAGTAGTAGTAGAAGTTGTAGTTGTAGTAGAAGTATTATTAGCAATATAAGTATTAGTAGCATTTGAATAAGTACTAGTTGTAGCAGTAGTGATATTTGTAGTAGCAGTAGTAGTAGAAGATGTAGTCGAAGTATTAGTAATTAGAAGAAGTAGTAGAAGTAGTAGTATCAGTAGTCGTAGTAATAGCTGTAGTAGTGGTCGTAGTATTTAATATAACAGTAGTAGTAGTAGAAGAAGTAGTAGCAGTAGTAGTAGTACTAGTAGAAGTCGTACTAATAGCTGTAGTAGTATTAGTACTGGTAGTAGCAGGAATAGCAGTAGTAGCAGTTGTGGTATATGTAATAATAGTAGTGGTAGTGGTAGTAATATCAGTAGTGGTAGTAATAATATTGATGGTATCAGCAATAGCAGTAGTAATAGTAGCAACAGCAAAAGTTGCAGTAGAAGTAGTAGCAGTAGTAGTGATACTAGAAATATTAGTAGCAGTAGTAGTTGTCGCAGTATTCGTAAGAGCATTCATTATTTCAACAAAAAAGCCTAATTTTGAGCTTAACGTTTAAATACAGTTAATCCATGAGGCTTTTATTTTGAAAGGGTGGGACTGGGTGGGGGAGAGGAGACATAATCTTAATGTTAGATAAACATAAACAGGTTATTAAATGACAGGCTTCATCACAAGCATTTCAGTTAGAATTCATTTTGTGGGGCCTTTACTTTAAAATGGGGTGTGTGGGGTGGGGGGGAGTCCTCTTAAAATCGCTAAGACCTGAATGACTGTATGAGAGAGAGAGACACAGACAGAGAGTGAGAGAGTGAGTGAGAGAGAGAGAGAGAGAGAGAGAGAGAGAGAGACACTGATCTCTCTGGCAATCTTTCTCATTTGGAGATTGTCCTATGTTTTATCATTTACAGCTTACATGACTATTGTCCTGCTCTGCCATGTCTTTCCTCGTCTCTCCCTCTTGTGTCGCGGTGTGTGTAAATGTCACTCGAATCAGGAAACTTATCAGAATACCCATATTTGATTGGCTGAGCTGCATCACGTATATCTCTAAATCATGTGTGTGCGGCTTTTATGTTAAAATCTCAAACAAATCCTCAAAACTCACATAACTGTAGCTCCTATTGCTCCGATATTAATAAATGAGAGGAAGGATGAGTTGAAGAACAGATCCTGTAAAAACTGTGTGTGTAGTGTAAAAAATGTGGCTGAACTGGCGATCTAGAAATGGGGTACCGTGTTCGTGGAAGATGTTTTTGAAGCAAAATTTAACATCGGTCTCTATGGAGCAGAAAGTTGGTTTTCCTCTCAATTACAGGCTTCTGTGTCAAATGTGTAAATCGGTGGGATTCCACAGTCATTTGTCTACAACAAGGACAAGATTAGCTACTTCTACATCCAGAAATTATGCATGAAGAGTGAAGATTGTGGACACAGTGGCAAAAGACAAATCTTTTTTTCACAAGAATCTCAAGCTGCTCTTCACTCTAGCGGTGACATCACGCAATCCTGCGCAATACACACCCATTATAAAAAAGGGCTGAAAAAGTCATAAAAGTTAAAATGGGACAGTTCAAAAAGTATAAAAGATATCAAAAAGCTGAATAATGCGGCAATAGATCAGGGTTTTCTAAACATTTTAAAGTTGAAATGGTGTCTGTAGCTGAAAATATGAGGAAGTAGAAGGATTTGAAAGTTGAAGAAGTTTAAGAGGATTTAAAAATATTCTCCATAGACATCCCATTCAAAAAAAAGTTGCAAAAAGCTTAATAATTCAAAAAGTTGAAAGATTACAAATATGAAAAGTCATATCACCCTCTCCTGAAAGAGCTGAACATTTTGATTTACAGCATTCCAACAATTAACTTTTAACAAAAACAAACGGGACACCCTCACTAGAAAGAGAATGAAATTAAGAAGCAAGCAGTGATAGAATCACTGAAAACACAAGAAAGTTGTTTTAATGTAAGAGAATATAATCTTTTTATTTATATGAAGATAACAACAAGGGACAAATAATTGTTTTAAGCAGTGAGGATAGTTAAAATGCATTCGATAATAATATACCAATGAAGAAAAGATGCACTTCACATGAATCTGCAGAGCAAGTTATATGACACGAAGAGGAAGACAAATGGCATTTTAATAAACACAGTCAGTGTAATCAGTATCAGTAAAATAAATTGTGTGATACAATAAAGAACATTAATACACTAATTCATTTTCTTTCTGATGTGATTTGTGTGTGGTTTAAAAGTAAGTTTGGTATCAATATATTTCATATTTCATTGAACTTTCTGGAATTACCTTTTATAGTAAAAGTAATTTTTTTATCCTGGTGATTCTATTTTTCTGTTTACAAAATGACTAATCTGAGAACACCTTTTAATAGTATCAGAAAAGTGATTAGTGTGGTTTACATTTAGATAACTAAACCTACGTTTGTGATCAAAGGATTTGGCAGCTGTTGGATTATCGCGGATGTTTTAGCAGCAGCGCCTTATTAAAAGATATTCATCTATGTAATGGTGTTTGGTTCCATCTGGTGGTTATAGGAAAGTACTGCAGGTAAAAGCTCAGGTCACCACACAATTTCTTTCTTTCTTTCTTTTGGATCATTTATCGATCTGTCAATCTATCTCCATCCAAATATAGCTTAGTAAATGTACTAATTATTACCTTTTTTATTATTATGTATTACTATTTCCCATCACTGTATAACGTCACTGTTTCTGCTGCAGCAACTCAGTATTTCCGCACACATCATACAAACAAACAGCAGCAACAGTTTACAACAATAACAGTAGTATTTATTTTTTCAACTTCTAATTGTCTTTAAAATGCGATGAAGTATTTTTAATATTGTAAGTAAAATATGTCTGAGTACTTCCTCCATCCCTGTGTATTATGACCGTCCTGTGTGTACCGAGTCAGTCCGCCAGGTGTCGCTGTTTGTCGGCTGCAGCTGGTGGAGGACACGCCCCCTCTCCTCCTGCAGGTTTCAGGAAGCGGAAGCAGGAATGTTGGTGTGTTTTCAGAAAAAGTTTGGACAAGTTTGACAGTTTGGGAGCGGATACATAAACCGCGGAGAAACATGACGGTGAGTAACTATATCTGTTCATAGTACAGCTAGTAATTACTGCTTGTTGTACTAAACGTGGTAGTACTGCCGGTGTTTTTAGTTAGTGACGATACGGAGAGTTTAGCTGCTGTCAGCCTGTCCGTGTCTACAGCAGGAACCACTGAACAGGACAAACAAGTCTGAGCTGAGACACAGGGACACTTTAATGGCACGTGGGGGTTTAATAATGTGGCTTACTTTATATTTAATTTAAGAGTACGCAGGTATTTAAAGTTAGAGTGATACAGCATGTCTTGAAGCTTGACAGTGATGGAAGTAGGCTACATTCAATCCACTAACGTCACTGTAATTTGTACTTCAGGATACTTGAGTCTTTTTCTTTTTATTTCTACTCTACTACATTTCAGAGGGCAATGTTGTACTTTTTAATTTATTATAATTATCTCGCAGCTTAAGTTACCTAACAAATTTTAGAGATTTGCAGTCAAAACGTACAGAGAACCTATGAAATATGATATTTTGTTATTAAACAACTGTGTAGTACAGCTCAAACGGTGAATCAATTAGTCGATGGACTGAAAATGAATCAGCAGCTGTTTTAGTAATCCTCAAATCATTCTTCATTCAAAAACATTTCAAGGTTCAACCCTATTTGCTGCTTTTTATTTAAATGATTTCATTTCATTTCATTTGTTCTGCTGATTTCAGTCTGTGAAGATACATTTTGGCAATTGTGACGAGATTTTTCACTATTTTCAATCCATCAATGAATGGTGAAAATATTCAGCAGATTAATACATTATGAAAATAGTCATTACTTCATATTTCAAAATGAGCTCCACCTCAACCAACCTTTGTCACCAATGCACGGGTAATAATAATCTAGCGATATAATATGAAAGTGTATTACAGTTGAAAGGGACATCTTTTCTACTTTTAATATTTTTACATTACATTTTCCTGATTATACTTACGTTAAACATACTTTTGAGGTAACATTTTCAATGCAGGAGTATTTTTTGTGGTATTAGTACTTTTACTGAAGTAGATGATCTGAATACTTCCTCCACTACTGAATTTCAGAGAGAAATATCGCTCTATAGTTACTTTTCAAGATTTTACACAAAATACATGTGACCATCTTCTAGAAGATGATGCATTATTAGAATAGAATAAGCTTCCCAACAGTATATTAAGTAAGTAAATACTACAGCTACAACATTAAAGTACTGCTGACATGGTAATACATTAGCAATACTTATCTAGAAAATATAGTTACCTAACAATGTCAGTGGATTTTGCATAATGAGCTCTTTTGATACTTTACGTTCATTGTGTTCCTAATAGTTCTTCATTTTATTACTTTTTAAAAACAGGACTTTTACTTGCATAATAATGTTATGTTGTGGTATTACTACTTTTACTTCAACAGTAGTTGTTTTGAATACTTAGAATAAAAGGATGTTTTCTAGATTATTTGTGTAGTTCACACACACACACACACACACACACACACACACACACAATATTAATTGAATAATCTACAGATTTTTGTGGCAATCAATTACCAGTGAAGGAAGAAGTCCTGGGATCCTTTACCTAAGTCAAAATTTCCTCAAGCATTAAAAGTACTTGTTATGCTGCAGAATGGCTCCTATCGGTGTTATAAATGACATTATTAGATCATTATCACGGATACACACTCCTGTAGGCAGAGTTTTAGTGTTGACGCTGCTTAAAAATTAGTTAATTCTAGTTACTTTATTCACTGCGGGGCAGTTTACTGCATCATATTGTTATAGTGGAGGCCTTTGTGTTCGTAATGTAAAACCCTTGAAGAGAACACTGTAGTGGAGTAAAAAGAGCGGCCTGTAGAAGCGCTTTGTCAAAGGACAGGGTCACAATATTAAAGTCTTAAAATTATATTCAATTGCTGATGAACACTGAAACTGTTTTTGGTCCCATAATAACAACTGGCTGCAACGGATGATTATTGTCATTACTGAATGCTTCCTATTATTCTAAATAGTCTAGACCTTTTGATTATTACATAACTGGTGTCCATGTTGCATAGATGTGTAAGCAGGCCAGAACAAAAGTGTTTGATATTGATATCCAGTCGAACTCAATCCTCCGATAATCTTCAACCTGAAAACGAGATAATACAGAACTTAAGAATACATTGTTAAGTATATCAACATATCAGCAGCATGTTTAATAAACAATATGGCACACCTTGTTTTTTATGAGCTACTCGATCCAAATACCAAAGGCGATCAAAACGATAATTTAAAGTTTATCCGGCCAAATGATGCCACTCCCCAAAATTTGACATGATGGGATCAGCTGATCGTCTTAAGAGAGAAGAGGTGTCACTCTGTTGGAGTTGTTGGAACGACAAAAACAGAAACTCAGTTCACTCGCGGTGGTACAGTAATGTTACAGAGATCCTTTACTGAAGTAGAAGTAGAAATACACAGTCTAAAAATACACCATTACAAGTACACGTCATGAATACAAAATGTTACCTCAGTAGAAGTACAGAAGTATGATCAGCTAAATGTACTCAGAAGGGCTCCTTTCACAGTGTCATGTTAACAGTCTATTGTTGTGTTTTTATCACTAAAGAGCATTTTGATGTTGTAGTTCATCAATGGGGAATTCTATGTACTTTGTATAGTATTGGGTAGATTAGTAGTATAGTGCTATTTTATCATGGTTCTGTATGGAAAGAATTACTAGTATGTATTATAGTCAGATGAATGTATTGGAGTAAAAAGTGCGGTGATCTGTGGATTATTTTCTTCATACATTGTCTAGCCTAAAAGAAATGTCAGAAAATTGTCAAATATTAGAAATGTCAATTATTGTCCCAAGCTGATCAAGTTTAAATTGCTTAAATAATTGAATAAACTCAATTTACGATCATAGACAAGTGGTGACAAAGAAAAGCTTAAAATCGCCCCATTTGAGGATGCTGGAACCAAATCAAAACTGAATTTTTATTTTTGCTTTTGACATGATTCTAACAATTTATCCATTAGCGAAATCTTTTTTCTGTCCTCCTGGTGAACAGGTGGCGTTAATCATTCTGAAACAAGCCTTTAACCGCGAGTTGAATCGTCTGAGTTGAAACATTCGTACGAGCAAACCTCACACTAAGAAGTAGATATGAAGGATACAAAAATGTTGCTGCAGTGTTTCCCTCTGAACTGTAGTGGAGAAGAGGTATAACGAAGCATGGAACAGCGCTGGAGTGAATGTAATTGTTGACTGCATGACTGCACGCTGCACATGAGGATATAAGTAGAGCCTTTGTTCCGCTTCTCTTTGAACTTCCAGGGTGACATCCTGCAGTTTACTGTAGCAGAAATATAAACCGACTCCGTGTCCCCACTTCCACTCTGCTGCAGTCTGTTTGATCAGCGTCACTGAGATGAAGTCTGCTGTGTTCAGCTTGCAGGAGTCGCGACCTCTCTGAGTCTGGTTTGTGTCAGTGGGTCATCTTCTCTCAGACGTTTGATTTACCGTCACGTCAAACAGAGAGAGGCAGAACATCCTCACCGTTTGATATTCTTCTCTTTGCAAGAGTGCTCGTGGTGGAGGAAGTGATCCAGGTCCTTAGTAAATGTACTAATACCATAACGATAACATTCTTAAAAAACACTGTTGTAAAAGTAAAAGGCCTGCATTGAAAATGTTACTGAACTAAAAGTATGTAATCAGAACATTATTAATGCTGTGACAGTTGTACTATTATGTAACATTTCTACTGCTCAAGCTTTAATATAAAAGACTGATTTTACAGTTATAGTTGGTTATGGTGGAGCAAATGTTTAAAACTATTTTATATAGAACTACAACTAATGATTATTATCTTTATGGATTAATCTGCTGATTATATTCTCGGTTAAGCGATGAATCCAGAAGCATAAATTCACACCGTCACAATGTTTGTTTTATCCAACCAATAACCAAACCTCCAAGTCAGACTATTAGAATATAAATTACATTGAGTAAAATTAATAAAAAGAAAAGCAGCAAATCTTCACATTTGAGAGGCTTGAACCATGAAATGTTCGGTGTTTTCGCTTGACGCGTGACTATAACAATAAATCAATCATAAAATCAATCAGTTGATTAGATGATTTTAGGTCAAAGGTCGTTACGGTTAGAAAAAAGATCACGCTTTGTGTTACCATAACAACGTGATGGTGTAACGTCACAGCTGTAACTACGTAACTAGTGTACATAAATAACAATCGCCCGCAGCGGTCTCTCTTATGTAACGTTACCATAAAGTCAACGAAACGTACAATGCCAAAATAAAACATTCCCAGAGACACAAAAAATTAATCTGTAACTGTTTCAATAATTGATAGATCATAATTATAGGTAGTAATAGGTTTTTAAGCAAACATGACGGTTTCTAAATGGTGAGGATGAGCTGATTTTCCTGACCGACTAGCCCTAAAGCTAGCAATGGGCAGACCTTAAGGTGGAAAAAAGGTTTTTAACTGATCGCATCAATCTGTCTAAATTCTTGCTGTTGGTTAATGGTTAACATCCCTAGTGATAGTAAATTAAATATACCAATCAAGCTAACCAACCTGAAGCTTTCTCCACTAAACCTGAATCCTTTACTAACCCTCAGAATCCAAACCAAACACTGCCGCTGTTCTCTTAGAGAAGGACACAACGGACCCTTGGTAGCCTCCTTAAGCCTCCAGGAGTGTTCCTTTGAAGACAGATGTGAGGGTGAAGGATGACTGAAGAGGCCTGAGAGGTGAGACGGAGGGTGAGACAGAGGTGAGACGGAGGGTGATACAGAGGGTCGTGAGGGTGAGATGGAGGGTCGTGAGGGTGAGACGGAGGGTAGTGGTGGCTGCAGAGGACTCACTCTCTGCACACAGTCCCTATGTTTGTTGTTGTTTGTTTTCTGACATTCCAGTTTGTTTTGCATTTATGAGAGGAATCTAAAAATAGATCGATCCCTCCCATCCCTCTCCTTGTCTGTATCTCGGGCAGGAAGTCGTTCTGTTATTCACCCTAAACACTCGTTTCTTGTTTCACACGTTCTCTTTCAAAGTTGGCTGCACGCTCCTCTTTTTTCCCCCTCATCCTTCTACTCCAGTCAAATGGACACTCTGTGTTCTAGTTCTCTCAGCCTTATTATGTAATCTTGAGTTTTGTTTTTTAAATAATTAACTTTGTGACTGTATCCCCGTGTTGGCTATTATCAGCAACCACACAGCCAAAGTCCCTCTTATTACGTTTCTGTTTCAGACTTCCTCAGTAGTAAGCTGTGGTCTGGTGGTTCCCGTTTGTATCAACCGTCGGCTGAAGCCTCTCGCCTGTCAGACTGAGCTGAGGGAGTTGTTGCCAATAAATTTAAACAGCTGCTACTAACAGATTGGCTTTTGATTGATTCGATTATGTTTAATGTTACGCAGCAGATGTTCATATGCACCTCGACTAAAACAGCTCGTGCTGAAATGTTTAAAAATGAAATAGTCAATAACAATCAGACATAGAACCAGACAAGACATTTGAAAACGTCCCCTTGAAAGCTTAGAGCTTCTTTTTGGCATTCTCTGCTATTTTATAGAATAAATTGTTAATACATTAATCTTAAAGCACTGTAGATAATGAAAATAATCATTATTTACAGGGCTAAAAATCATATTTTTTCTTCTTGGAGATAAATCCTGCTGCTTTAATGGAACGTGTGTTTGTCAGGCACCCAGGGTTACTGCTGACTATGGTCGTGTTTACATTGACCTCTGCTAAACCAACTTGCAGAGACTTGAAGCTTGTTTCAGACAGACGACGCATCAAAGTCAACATATACTCCCCTTTATTTTTTTTGTCAAATTATAGTTATCATTGCGTGGTAACTGTTAGGAAAACTCCCTATTAGTGCATTGATAGACACTTAGACAGCTGAACATGTGAGAGATGAGCAACTGAAAAAACCCTTTCACCACCTAAAAGAGTCCTCACTTTAGTAACTACAATGTACAAGATCTCTAAATGTTACTTACATGTGAGGAACTTTTAACGGGTTACGAAACAGTTTAATACTGATGACTCTATATGACCTACATCAGTAAACAAGACCAAGATAAGCTACTTCTATGGAGTTATTCTTGATGCTTGTCATCGCCACCACCCGGTCGGATTCTGCCCGAAATCTGATAAAACCCTGCAGGTTCACCAGAAACTCCTTCAGCTCAGACTGCAGCTGGACCTCCTCCAGTCCCAAATACCATCCACAGCTCTGACACATGTGATTTGGCTAGGACCACAACATCTGTGTCCACAGTGCACAGGTTGATTTAAAGCCTTTTTGCAGCAGCAGCATCCAAAGCATGGAGTTGCATCTTTGCATCTGCCTCTTCATGCACGTAAGGGGCAATCTGATCTGTTTGTTGTGGGTGAGATGACAGAACAAGAACAAGAGTGGATTGAACAATGTGTCCTGAGAGTGGATGAAAACAAAAAAGAGCTCTTTCCCTTTCTGGCCCAGAACCTTGTGTTAATGTCAACTACCGAACAAGTTGTTTCCACTGGCAGACCCAATGTTCTTTCAACAAACCTGTTTCTTTTCTTTTTTAGTTTGTTTGGGTTTAACACATTCTCAAAACAAGTGTTAATGCTTTTATGAAAAAGTGAACATATCACCGACAATTTGGCAAGTTGCTCTAAACTTAAGTAATTGCATTGCTTTCGACCAGTGATTGTCTTGTAGGTTTGATTTATCATTCTTTTCCCAAAGGGTTAGGATTATTTTTATTGCTGTGTGTGTGTGTGTGTGTGTGTGTGTGTGTGATCTCAGCTGTCCTCATTAATATTATACTCTATTTATTTCAAGCTCATTTTAAGAAATTCATTAATCAGTGTTTAGCTTTGTCAGCTGATGTTTTATTGTGCCAGAGTGATTTATGTATTTGAGGTACTATATGTGTAGCTTTTAATGTCTCTGCATGTTGTAATTAGTACTTAATAATGCAGCACAATGTCCTATTTTTATGTTTCTATTAGCTGTAATATTGCCCATTTTATTGCTTACATGCCATGTATTATGTGCTTCTGTGTTGTATGTGCTCATTGGTATGTAGCAATGTAGTATAATTATGTGATTTTTTTTTTTTTTTAAATATATATTATATATTTTTACAAAAATGAATATTTTCTCTTTTTATTATTGTTCGGCATTCTTATAAACTATTTTAGTAACTTAAATTTTATGATTTATAATTTTTTAGTGTCACTTTGTAACATCTGTCCAGGGTCTACAGATGGAAATAGCCTTTTGACTTACTCTGCCACATTCACATTTTTGTGTACTGTTTTTGTTAGATGAACTAATAAGTTAGATGAATTCTCTCTCTCTCTTTCTCTCTCTCTCTCTCTCTCTTTCTCTCTCTCTCTCTCTCTCTCTCTCTCTCTCTCTCTAGGTGTTTTACCTGCTGCTAATGTTGCTGTAGAGTCCTCAGTCTCCTCTGACTGACTGACCTCGACCAGACAGACACAGGTAGAGATGGAGAGTGGACCTCTGGGAATGGACACCAACATTGCTCCAGGTGAGTCATCTTGCATCAAAGCAAACTTTGACTTTGTATCATTGCAGCGTGGGAAGCCGATGATTGTTTTTCGTGCTAGCTTAAAGTAACGGATAAAAAGTGGGAATAAATAACGCTAGCTTAAAGTAACGGATAAACAGTGGGAATAAATAACGCTTGCTTAAAGTAACGAATAAACAGTGGGAATAAATAACGCTAGCTTAAAGTAACGGATAAACAGTGGGAATAAATAGCTAAAAGTAACGGATAAACAGTTAGTCAACAGACAATTAAGGCTGTTTTTCACTTGATTTGATGGATGGGTATTGCTTGATGTGTCAAAGGTTATCAAAACTGAACCTCAGATGGCAGTGAGTTTTTGAATATATTGGATTCAATGTAATATTACATTATGTACATTTAAAATGATTAGCTAAAAAGAAAGTGATAAATGGTTGGAATGGTTAGCTAAAAGTAACGGATAAACAGGATAATAGCTCTCTCGGTGACCTACTGTATATATGCAGGGCATGGTTGCATGTGATCGCTCCGCTCGACTCAGCTGCTCTGTGTGTTTGTATTGAATCAGTTGTTGTTTCTGTTTGTCAGGTTGAGTCTGCCAAACCTGATTGATGACTTAATAGTAGTTATGCTGCCTGACAAATTGTGTGCTTGATTGATCCTCAGATCCTAGAGTGCAGTCAAACTGCAGCTTAGCCTTTCTGCGGCGTCGGGCCTGGGCCCAGAGCAAAGACTCCACCTGGCAAGAATCAGAAGCTGGGAGCTGTGGCCCCCAGGAGCCCCAACAGAACCAGACGGACGGGGTAGAACAAAGACCCTCCGAAGAACCAGGTTAGACTGAGCTCAACTGTCACAATCTTGTTATTGGGGATATGTTAACGTTAACTGTATTCTTATAAAGCAAAAGCTATATTTGCTGAGAAGATTTTATCTTTTGCAACCACCATGGCTGAGTGCTAAAGTCAGTGCTAAATAGAGCAAATTATCAAACAATTACAAATCATCCAAGTTATGTCAGTATCGCCGTATATTTCGTCTGATAAGCAACAAGAAATTACAGAACAGAAAGCCAGAATGCATTTAAGGTAAATTAAAGACATATTCTTATTTCCATTCATGTGTGTAACGTTGTGGTACTACTCTTTACAACAATTTTAATAAAGTAGAAACCATACAAGATTTTCTACAGACTGAAAAGATATAGGCTGAAGCTGTAGTTTATCATGCCTACCCTTTTTGCAATAAATGACCGACGTCAATCATGCACCTTATATTCAGTTGGTTCATTCCAACTTTTCCATAAATTCATCCCTTGAACTGAAATACATGAATTCTCACCCTTTGCTTTTAGCCATGCTAGATGTTAGTTTGGTTGATTGGTCCAGACTAAGATATCTCAAAAACTATTGGATTGAGCGTCATGAATTTTCGTACAGGTCTCCATGATGCCCACAAGGTGAATCCTCTTGATTTTAGTGACCCCCCCCTTCCTCTCACCCCAGCATGAGGTTTACATTTGAAGATTTTGTCGCCACAAATATTCGATGGATGGAATTTGTAAGAACGTCTTGTCCCTTCAAGTAAAATGACTTCCCCAACTTTCCATTTAACGATACTTTGTACCTGTAAACCAGTGGCGGGCCGTCAGGGCCTGCAAGGCCTTCTCTGCTGGCCTAAACAGAATCACAAAGTTATATCTTTTTTATAATTTAATAATTTTTCTTGAATACACTACATGTATTATAATTTATAAAAATATTTTCCCATTATCTTATTTTCTCATTGCACAGCTACTGTCTTCCTCAGTTGCTCTGCTTCCAATGCAGCTTGTTTTAAGTAGAGCTTTTATCCAATCAGATCTCACCTCTGTGTCTCTAGGTAAGAAGAGAGGCCCGAGGCCTGCAGACTCACAAGTGCATCCATGTGCAGTTTAAGTGAATGGGGACGATATTGTTGATTGTCATAGTGTTCAACCAATCAGATCTTTAGTTTGATATGTTGGGCGTATTCTTTGATGTGTCAGCGCCTGCTAGCCGGCCTATAGCTACGTCAGCATTAGTGCAGCTCAGTTTTCATGTGCAGCTCTACCGCAAGGTGCAGAGTGCGCTGTGATTGGTCAGTGGGCGAGCATGTGACTATCGTGAAACGAAACTTAACAGCAGAGGCTTAGTCGGGTAGTGAATCACATCACGTGATGCAGCTCAGCCAATCAAGTATGGGCATTCTGACAAGTTTCCTGACCTGAGTGAAATGTACCACACACCGTGACACGGGGCTGAGACGAGGAAAGACATTGCAGAGCAGTATGTTCAATGTTCGAGTTGTTAAAGTCAAATCCTAAAACGATCTCTGTGGGTCGTGGCTTGTCATTAAGGAATGATGGTGGATCCCACAGCCAGACCAGCTGAGAAACACTGTCCTACATGAGCGCAGAAAACATTATGTTTTCCTGAATTTAAGCTTCTGTATTTTCCAAATGCTCGAGCATTATTCAAACATATTGTCAGCCTCGTACCGAACGGCTTAATACGAAGACGTACATAGTTACAGCCTTAAAAACGAATAATAGCTGTGGACATCATGTGGTTATAAGGTGGTATTTCAGCTGCAGGACAGCAGTGAAGGCCCAGTTATAAAATGCATGGCCCGCCACTGCTGTAAACCTAATGAGCTTTTTCAACAGCCTCAGCTGTACTTTGTGTCCTGTGCTAATTATGTGATCACGATAACATGGTAAACGGTACACCTGCTAAACATCAGCATGTGTGCATTGTCATGGTGAGCATGTTGACGTTAGCACAAAGTACAGCGAAGGGCATCCTCACAGAACTACTGGCATGGCTGCAGGCTGTTAGTCTTGTTCAAACATGCACAATCCTCTTAAGTCCCTAAGAGGGTTTCTTTCTTTAATTATGAAGTACTTTTGGATAGTTGGACTTTGAAAATCAATTGTTTGTCAGTCACCCTGCAAAAATGCCAAACATTCACTTGTTCCAGCTTTACAAAAACAAGCGCGGTGTCCGTTCAAAATGGGCCTGTTCAGAACGGGCCGAATTCTTGGCCTGTGGTGTATGCAGCTTTCTCATGAGCCACTCATACAAACACCTTCACACACTGCGCTTTCTTCTCAGCAATACGCCTGCCATGACATACAGTAGTTGCATTACACACCCAAGAAGCAGCTACTCACGGTCCGAAACACCGGCAAAATGCACTCCGGTTCAGGAAAAACCACCAGGGCTAGACTTAACCGTTAGGTAAGGTAGGTACCCTGTGGCCCTCAACCAAACAGTTATAGATTTATTAGGATGTTTACATAGGAAGATATTGGTTGATTGGTGATAGATTGAATGATAATGAATAGCTGCAGCCACACAGATAATATTCAGCTGAGATGTTGAGTTATATCCCAAAGTCTGGCACCGCTTTAATGCTTTTATAGCATGTTGTAATCACTGTGTCACACAGCATCTGCTATCTTTAACATGCTCTTCTGTCTCTATGGCAGGGCGAGTTCCCAACAACATCACCAGCTGGCTGATTGAATGCAGGTATAGTATCCATTCACCGCCTGATTAAAGGACCATACCAAAGTTGTTTATGTCCTGTTTGCCGCATGTCATGTGTGACTTGTCAGATCAATCTGCACTTGATGATAACTTAAATAAAGCTGAGAAATGTTGAATGCCATCAGTTACTGCCAGTTGATTTTCTTAGAAATGAACTGAAACCAGTGACTGCTTGGGAAGATCAATCACAAAACTGATGGATGATTTGAAAATGATCAGCAGGAATGTGCAGTAAACAGACTTAGTATTTAATTTACGAAAATATGAAACATATGGGATATAGCTGACTGGTCGAGTGGGTAACTGGTTTTCTTGCTGAAATAGATATGACGTGTGTGTGTGTGTGTGTGTGTGTGTGTGTGTGTGTGTGTGTGTGTG